TATAGTATATATTACTTTGATTCACTTGGGTGAGGTTCAGTTTGCTGGATTAATATTCCTACTGTTTTGGGTAATATTATTATATATAAGATGTGCTGTTAGGATATTTACGGTCACCATGTCCGTTAGTTTGATGATGTCTCTAAAGTGAGTTCATGAAGGATTATTATGTTAAACTCTGCAGGTGGATTAAGTTCCGGCATAATAAGAATGTGATGAACGAGCGCTAGATTCGGTGAAATAACGATAAATTAATTAACTCTTGATTGTCAATAATCGAATTAATTAATGGACATTATATCATAAACGTGGAGAGGTAAATCAAGTAATTATTATTGAAGTCTAAAATGTAACTTGGGCTAAGAAAATGGAGTGCAATAATATAATGTTGGTGGTCCATTAATATTATTTAATTAATTAGAGTGGACTTGGCCCACAGTTAGTCTAATTAATTAAGGAGCCATATTCCTAATCTCCTAAGGGTCCTTACTGTAGCTATATATATACATCATTAAGCTCATGAGAAGAGAATCCTAATTACACAATTACACGTGATAGCTGCCCCCCATCTGTCTCTCTCTCAGTTCTCATTCGAGCTTTATCTTCTTCTTGTTGCTCCACTGGTACAAGTTCAAGAAGGATGTATTAAGTAATACAGTAGAAGATCAATAGGTAAATGAGACCCGATTATCTTTTACATAAAATATATTCACAACAAGCCCAACCCGCCGGACCGCCGACCCGACGAGCCAGGCCCGCCGTGAAGTCGCCGCAAGCCTGCCGGAGCTCCGCCGCAGACCACCACGATGATCTGACGCGAGACAGCCAGCTCGCGACCCGATCGACTGAGGAGGACGCGATTCGATCCGGCACCCGCGACCCGACCGGAGATCCGCCTACACGACCTGACGCGATTGCACGTGAGCATGGTTCATCCGTTTGTGTGATCTGATTCATTGGTGTGCTGTGTACGGCCATCTGGAAGATCAGCCAGATCGCCATAAATTTTAAGCCGTAAGTTCTTTACGTCAAACCTTTAGATTTGTTGTGCATAGGTTTACGTTTGCTATTTAATTCGTGATTTGTACATAACGAGATCCTCACAGATCCCAACAATAGTAGCTTAGGATACTAGTTGACCTGGACAATGAAGTGAGTTTACAAGCTCACCAGCTCGGGATTAGAGCTCGGACACATGGGGGGTCAGTACAACCTGAAAGTTGTACAAGCAAAGGTCATGTTTTCGACCTAGTAGGGGCATGTAGCTGCTGGGTCACGAAGTCAATGCAACGACCCAAGAACCTAAGAGCCTTGACAGTGAAGGAAACAGAATTCTAGTAAGGATAGTAAGTATATTTCGCTAAAAAGACAAAGATCTCAAAAACGTATCGTACTAAGAAACGAGATACGATAAGATTTTCTAGCAATGAGACTACTTTGATAGGAAGATAACCTCCTTATATAAAGAGGTAACCAAATTCTATTTTCACTTAACGCATGTTACGCCTTATCATACAATTTTATCATATTCATGAGCGATATTTGACTTAAGCATCAGAGGTTTCTGCCGAGACCCCTCCCCTACGTGTTTTGCAGGTCATCAGAGCTCAAGACGAGGAGCAGTTCGTGGTTTTGATTCGGAGGCAATTTGCATATCACTAATATTTTATGTGCAATATTAATATACACACATGGATTAAAATTGTGTAAAATTTCACCAACAGTAATATAATTCGACAAAACTTTAACTAAGACCATCTCTAGCCCTTATTCTACTCTAGTGCAGAGTTTATTATACTATAGAGTATAGTGAAACAAAAATCAAGTTTCGTCTCTAATAATTCGCGCTACATTTTACTCCAGAAAATATTTTATTTTTATTTTTTATTATTTTAAACTATTTTAATATTAAAAATATAGTTTAATCATATATATGTTTTACACATATTTAATTTTAGTATCACAAATGTAATCTAATTAGATATATTGTTTTAAACATATTAAAATATTTAAATTATTATCATTGCATAATTAATAAAATATAAATAAGGAAAAAATATTTATATAAAGATTATATTATATACTAAAATATGTATCAAGTATTTACTAAAATATTACAGATTAACTAAAATATTAACTATGATTTAAGAGAATTTTTAGTTAATAATATAGGTCATTGGAAATAAATTCCGTGTGCTAATCCTTGTTTGTAAAATAATTTATTACATATTTTTTTCTATTATAAATAAATTTGTTCAATGAAAATTTGTATTACGTTGAAAATTTTTAAATGGAAAGAAAATTCTACAAAATTTCAATGATAGTTATTAACTTGAATTATGAACTGAAAAAATATTTACACGAAAATCATAACTATACATCCATTGAACTTTATATTTGGTAAACACTCCGACCAGCTGGAAATCGGCTCGCCTTCTTCCTCATCGCCGGTAGAACACCGCGTACCTGCAAAGGACTCTCACACTGGAGGGGTTTTCCGGTGAAGAGCCTCCAACGCTTAAGTCAGTGTTTGTTCTACTCAATTCTCAAGCGTAAAAATGGATAAAATCGTGCTCAACAAGAAAGGTTCACCCCTAATATAGGGGTGAGATACTTGACCTAGGGCTGCCCGGATTTGATGAATTGTCTACCCAAAACTGCCCGTCCTTACACATACAGTGTGCGTGTGTCAGAGGTAGTTATCACCACATACCAATACAGTCTCGCCACGTGTCCTCTGTACATAGGTAATTATTCCCTTGAATATCCCTTGGAAATTTACTTGGAAGCTCACGCGCTCTCTCACGTTTAAGTCACGCTCTAGATTGTTCTCCACCTAATGGGTGGTCGATCTGATGATCTCCTGCTGAATAAGTTATTCTTCAACCAGATTTCCCATATGTTCAAGGCCAACGCACATCCCATGCCAAGACCTTTTTCACCCTTCGTCCGCGTGTTCGACCACTACCATTTAACTCGATATTTTTCGACCAGAATGGCTTTCCCCGTGTTGGATTTGTGTGACCGATTGAGTGGGCCAGTTTACTCGTATGGGTAGATAATATCCCATATCATCTAGTCCCCCCCACTCTTGTCGAGTCTAAATGACTCGATCTAAGAGTGGATCTGTGCTTGCCCTTCAAGTTTTCCCTTTATTCGACCACCTGGTGCCTTTCCTCTCTTTTTCGACCACCTAGTTGTCTATCCTCTCTTAATCTTCAACCGTCCTTCCTTTTCCTCATTATTAATGCAACTTTATTCTGCCACTTGTCCTTCCTGTCAGATACATCCCCCCTCGTGATCCGTGCTGTTTCGTTATCCACACTCTTGAAATTCTCCCAACCGTTAGATTTCACTTTAATCTAATGGCTATTTCCATTAACCCTTCATATTGCTCCCCTTTTCAACTATAAATATCCATACTAAGGATTTTTCTCATTTTCTACACTTCTGCAAATTTTGAATTCACCTGTGCCTTAAATTTTCCTACAACTTAAACTCTTTGTTATCGGTGTTTCGATCTCTACCATCTCCAAGTTTTCCGGTGACCTTCTCTCCACTGTGATAATCAGTAAGTTCACTGCAATCTAAATTCGTGTAATTCCTTTTGTCAATTTTCAATTTTTCCTATTAATTCTTCTTTTTCAGAACTTCGTTTATGCCCTAGCCGCGACATCTTCCCCTCTTCTTCTTCTTTGCTTTTCTTCGAAATCCCTGAAATTCTTCCCTCTGACTTCTTTCTTCCTTATTTTGCAGATTTCGCTACCTCCAGCAAGAACGACCACCATGCCGGCAACGACATGTCCTCTCCCTCTTCATCTCTGACTCCTCGACCGATACCACACTCTACTTCTAATTCCATCGAGGAGATTTACCAAGTTGTCCCTCTCAACGTGTTTCGCCTCTCTGATTACTCTACACCCTCTCCTCCACCTCAACCTTCTCATCTGATTGATGAATCAGACGAGAATATTCTCAGTCATGTTCCCTTCACCAGTCGCCGTCGACTTGACTTCGGTGCTTCTGATGCGGCTGAAGTAGCTCTAGATGCTGCTGAGGCAACTCGCGAGAAAGATGAGGATCATATTCCTCTATTTCATTGTTCCATCTCTTCTAAACTTCCAACCTCAAGCAAATCCAAGGCGACCACGACCTCTAATCCCAAATCCAAACCTTCGCCCATCCCCACTTATTCTAAACCAGCCTCAAAGAAAAAATCGACCAAGGCCATTTCTTCCAAGGGGGCACCTTCATCCCCTCGTATAGTTGGGTGGTTGGAGGTCGACGATGTCGGCCACCCTTCTTGCTGGGGTTTCACATCTTCTGGTCTCAAGGATACCTACGATAACCCTCCTGAGAATCACTATACCTTCTTTGAAGAATCCATTTCCCTTTATGCCAAGAATTGATCGATATCTGCGACTGGTTCGGTCTTCCTTTGAACCAGCTCCCCCCGAACGCCATCCGCTTCATAACGACCTTTATCATCCTTTCCTATATCCGCCTAGGTCGATTCGACCTAGGCTTCTTCCACTATTGCTATATGCCCTCGAAACAAGCCCAAGGGCTCTATCTGAAGAGTCGCAATAATGTCCACTTCATCTCTAACAATCCTTCCCACTGTCCTAAGTGGAAGCGAAAGTTTGTCTAAGTCGAGCCTGACTCCGCCTTCTGCTGGGCACCCACTCCTTGGCTTAAAGAACTTCCTTCCGAGCTCGATAACCTTCAGCAGGATCCTCTTTTCGACCAATGTATTGCCGTGTGGAATTCCAAACCAGTCGTTTCCAAAACCCTCCTCGAAAATGACAACCTTCTCCATTTCTGTGGTCTTCTTAGCCATAAGTCCCTATCTCCTCCCACCAATGAAGTCCTCGACTCTATTCGAGTGGAGGGCGATCCTGGTATTTCTCGATCAACTTGTTCGAATATTGTCGTTTTCTTACTTTCATATAAACTATTTATTATGGTGCTAACTTGTTTTTGTGATTTCTCTTGCAGAGATGCTTGTTGTCCCCGTTCTTAAGAGGAAAGTTCCTCTGAAGAAGAAGTCCGGTCAGGCCTCCAGTTCTCACCCGTCCGACTCGACCACCACACCACGTGATCATTCGACCTCCTCCATGGAGGTCGATAATAATGTTGTTCCTACTTAGGAACCGATTGTCGAGGAGCAGTCCGAACCTTTCTCGACCAACCTTGCTGTCGGGGGTCAGTCTATCCCTGCCTCGACTGACCCACCAGTCGAAGAACAGCCGCAACCTCTTTCATATGAGCACCCACACCCAGTCTCTTCTCCTGTCGATACCACCACGCCTGTGATCGAACTCATTGCCTCCCCGAACCTTAATCTGGTCAAGGAGGATCAATTTAAACGCCCCTTCACTGAGGAGAGTGGGGGGCATAATAAGCGTCTCCGAGTTGAGGAGACGACTGATGCTGCGCGCTTCTCCATCTCTTCCCTGAATAAGGTCAGTGGCGCTGAAGTGACAACTTTTCTCAAGGATGTGCTCCCTGCCAACGACCTCCGCGATGATGGTGCCACCTTAAGTACCCAGGGGGACTGCATCAAAAAATGGCTAGCGCTGGTAACTTGCCTCATTAATATGATAACTTCTTTTTCTTGCTCCCCTTATTTTTCGCATGCTAACTTTGCTCTTTTCTTATGGGTACAGGGTTTGATCGAGCTGGTTCCTCTGGTCGATCAAGCCCTCTTGAGCGCCAACCAATCCATCCCCTTGATTGAGCAGGGGTACTGCATTCTTCGAAACAAGATTAACGACCTAACTCACCGACGCCAGGAGCTCCGGGAGCTGCTGAAGGACGAAAAGCTAAAGGTTAAGGCCCTCGCGGCAGAGAATGGAGCCCTTGAGGAGGAGAAGAAAACTCTTGAGGCTACGCTCAAGGTGGAACGAGCTGCTCGAACACAAGAAAAAACTGCTTTCGAATAGAAGAAGAAACGCCTGACTGATCTAGCTGCATTGCGCACTCGTCAGATGGTATGGTACACCAGAGTCTAGCAGCGCTTTCTCAAGGAACACCACGAGCAGGTGGTGGCCGACTTTATGCGGTCACCTTTATTTCTGAAGGAGGTCTAAGAGTTCGGCACCGACTGTTTCCAGTTCGCCCTAGAGAAAGCGGGCAAACAAATAGTTGAGGATGAATTTGAGGAGCTCGATGTCGAGGCCATATGGGATGCCATGCCCAAGGTACCCAAGAGCTTCTAGGGCGATCCTAACTTGCCACTTGATCATGAGTGGTGGTCAGGCATCCTCGAGCATGCCTTAGATCGCGCCGATACGCTGAAGAAGAACTTCGCGCTGCCCAACGGTTTGGCTCCCCTACTGTCTATGGTGCAGGCCATGTTCGAGTCTATCTGTCAACGACCATTATCGAACATGGCCGAATCCACCTCTGGCTCGAGTCAGCAAATCGAGCAGCAGCCCCATCCTACCCTCGAGCTAACTCCTTCAGATCTTCATGTTAACTCCGAGCAAACCTCCCAAATCTCAATGCGACTGCTCCTTGTGCATTTTGTAATTTTATTTTTGTATGAACTATGTACTTGTATTTTCGATATTTTTGTCATGAGTGAATTTACACATGCTTATCCATCCTCGTGTCTTTGTTTCTCTATATAACTTCAGTTTGTGTTATTTCGGCCTTATATCTTGTTTCTGTCGTACCTTTGTCATAGTTCCACTTGTCTTTTCTCTTGAATGCTTACCTTTCCCGTATAGTAGGAGCATGTAATTGATCACCTATAACGGTTATACTTTTTGATTTTCCTTTCACCCGTCTGCCTACCTTCCAAGAGGTGGTCGATACATGTGACCATCCAGCCTCCTGGCCTTAAACATGATGGATTTCACACCCTTGAACACATGCCCACCTTTAAAGAGGTGGTGGATACATGCGACCATCCAGCCTCTCGGCCTTAATCATGATGGATTTTACACCCTTGAACACATGCTCACCTTCAAAGAGGTGGTCGATACATGCGACCATCCAGCCTCTTGGCCTTAACTATGATGGATTTTACACCTTGAACACATGCCCACCTTCAAAGAGGTGGTCGATACATACGACCATCTAGCCTCTCGGCCTTAATCATGATGGATTTTATACCTTTGAACACATGCCCACCTTCAAAGAGGTGGTCGATACATTCGACCATCCAGCCTCTGGGCCTTAATCAATTTTTGGTAGTATGCTTGGCATAACTTTAGAGATTTACTTGATTCATTTTCGGTGGCACCTAGACAAAGTTGGTATAGTATACTCAGTTACATCTGGGTAATACATCAGGTTAATATTTGGTTAAATTGCGGTTACACTTTGGAATATTTACAAGGATTTGAAGAACAGTTGGTGAGAATGCATGTAAAAAGGTGATGGTCAAACATCGGAAACATAATTCCAAGATAAGGAAAAATCAAACAAACACATTCAGAAGTTTCATAAGCAACATAGGAAAAATAAGGGTTTTAAAACAACATCTTCAATACAACATAAGACAGTCAAATAGTTAAATTAGGAGAAAGGCACAACATTTGGATCTTCAGAAGATGGCTCAACTACTTCAACATCTGGGCCAACTGGCATAGAATTTGCTGCATCAGGAGGGGAGGTTACCATGACCATGTTAAAAACCTCAACCAGGGTGGTACTCGCAGGCTCAAACGTATTAGTATTCGGTTTAAAGACTGAGACCCTCACCTAATGCCTAGTGGATCGCTTCCAATAACTCTCGTACCAAGATGTTGAACATAAACGAGCAAGTTAAAACATACGTACAAGCCTAGAGGTCTGTCCCCGATACCTTTACGAACACGGGTTAAGACATAGACAAACACATACTTCAATCAAAGAACCCATAGACGATACAATTAAGAGCACGTCTATCCCATTAAACCATAATCGGATACCCTCTATCCTTACAGAGTCTAAGTTATATATATATTTAGACTAGCTGGTGGTCAATGAACTAATCAATTTAATCAAGCAATTTGAATAGGAATGAATACCACACATTCAACCCAAATTCAAGATGAGGATTGAAATCCCTAGCTCTAGGTGAATGACTTAGGTCATGCTCAAATGAATTTCACATTAGTTGAATTGAAAAACTCGCATTCAATCAACAATAATATTAAATAAATGAAAAACTTACAATAACAAAAGAGATCGCAAGCGTTCGTTCTCCATGTGTTTGGTTGCAACAATTCATGCACGAGTAAAAGGGAAAACGAAGAAAAATCCTATAAAACTATATCTACAAGAGTTGGTGTTCTAGAGCCAAGAAATCGGTATTGGGTTGTTCTTCACGTTTTTCAAGATTATTTTAAGGTCTGGCACGAGTCCTCATTTAAATGGATTCAAAATGGGGCCGAAAATCCATAGTGCATATTCGAAACGGCTCAGTCGCGAGTGCGAGGCCTATCGCGGGTGCGACGGGCCCAAGTCCCCGGCATCTCCCGCGCGACGCTCATGCGACGTCGCGAGCGCGAGGCCTGGGTAATGGGAGACGGGGCCAGAACGACAGCGACTGGGGCTTGAACTGCTGAATAATCCATATAGAACTGGACTTCTATCCATGCCTATTAGAACTTTAAAATTATAAAACACTTGACTAATATAAATTACAAATATATTTTAGAACATAATAAATTGTGTATTTGTTGATTTTTCATATATGACACTTGACAAACTTCGATTTGACATTTATATTTTAAATTAATTTGTTATATCATATATAAAAAGTTGATAACAAATATAAAAATTATTAACTATTAAAAGATATTTAAAATATAAATTAATTAAGTGTTTTATAAAAAAAATCCTAATAAATATGGATAAAAGTCAAAATCTACACGGAATACACCGAAGCACTTGAAATCGACATATAAAATTACGAAACAACATAAGTCGAATTTAACAAATAAGATTAGAAAGTATTAGAAGTTGATACACAGAAAACTCTTAATTTATATATAGGGAGATTAATAAAATTAAAAAGAACGAAAACAAATATATAAAAATTGCAAATAGTTTTTTTAAAAGGAAAAGTCAATAAACAGAATTTTCTTAAAAAATAAAAAATAAAAATAAAATAAAATAAAATATTGCAAATCCACTCACGCCGTCACGCGGGTAGGAAATTTTCCTACACGCGCTCATTTCCATTTTTCTGCTCAATAATTACGCAGCACAAGACTTCCACAAACGACGACGTAATTCTCTTATTTTCATATTCTTTTTTCGCCCTGCCCATCTCAACTACAGAAAAATAAATTGCAGCCATGGCCGAAGTCTACTTTTCCTTCTTCTCTCTTGTCCTCATTTTCCCACTCTCCCTCCTAATCCTCCTCTACTTCATAGTCCGCCCCAAGCCCGCCCACGTCCCAATCAAGAATCGCCACGTGTTCATCACCGGCGGATCCAGCGGCATCGGTCTCGCCCTCGCTCACCTCTGCGCGCGAGGCGGCGCCGACGTTACGCTCCTGGCCCGCAACGCCAGCAAGCTCGAAGAGGCCAAGCAATCCATCAAGCTCGCGACGGGGCGTGACGTCAAGGTCTTCAGCGTTGACGCCAGGGACTACGACGCCGTCAAGCGCGCTGTGGAGGATGCCGGCCCGATCGACGTTCTCGTGTGCAACCATGGGGTTTACATCCCCCAAGAAGTCGAGCATCAAGATATGGAGGAGATCAAGTTCATGATCGATGTGAATCTGACGGGGACATTCCACCTGATTAAGGCCGCCTTGCCCCGTATGAAGCAGACTCGGGCCGAGCGTGGACCCGGTTCCATTGCGATCATGTCTTCCCAGGCTGGTCAGGTGAAAAAATTGCACAATTATGACAAGCAAATGTGCTGCTCGTTTCATAGATTTATCGATTGATTTAAACGGATCTTTAGGTTTTTTGTTTTGATATGGCTAGTATTTTCTATGTTATTACTGAGATAATTGCGTTGTCTTCGGTAAATTGATAAAGGTTTTGATTTGGAAACTTCTCTGATCTGATAATGGCTTCTCACCAGCGTAATCTTATCAGCTCTTTTTGGTTACCTAGCTGTGGTCCTTTATAATCTTGTTATTTGCCTGAAAGTAGTATCATAATAGCTAGCACTTAATTTCAGTAGAATGTTCTCTTTAAGTGTGCATATGCCTAGTGTGTGACCTTAGTTAGGTATATTATTTTAGGGCATTATAATTTACAAGTTTGTGAGTCTTGTAGGCTAACAAATTTGTTCTGTTAGCTAGGAATTAGTTTTTTAGATTCCCTGTCTCTTCGTTATTAAAACATTCCTTCTGGCTTGAACTGATTATGTACCCGATTATTTCCAGTTCTTAGTTTACTTTCGGTTCTGAATCCGAGTAATGTGTTTTTTTATTTTTTATATAATTTTATATGAACGTTCTTCTTCATATTTAACCCTGTCTAGTAGTGACTTGTTTCAGGTTGGCATTTACGGTTATGCAGCTTATTCAGCCAGTAAGTTTGGCCTCAGGGGTTTGGCAGAAGCACTTCAGCATGAGGTTATAACAGACAACATTCATGTGTCCCTCATTTTCCCTCCAGACACCGATACTCCCGGATTTGCTGAAGGTCCGAATTCTCCTTAAATCCCAACTTGTAGTGTAAAAAATATTAAATCGCGCGTTCTCCTTATAAAATGCTCTATTTATACAGTGCACTCTTTATTATGGAAGTACTTTTTGGAAATAGTATGTTGGTTGGTTTATCCATGCAGGGATTAGAATATTGTTCGACTAATAGCAAACAGTACAATTACAAGTTAAACTTCCTGAAGCACAACTCGGCAAACACATTAATATTTATTCAGTCTTTTATAAAAAAAATGTCAAATATATATATATATATATAGACAGATAGATTTTAGGTTTGTGCATTTGAAAATGATACTATTGCACGACTGTGCCTGCTTTCACCATAACTTTCAAACAATTGGTAGTCTCTCTTTTCTTATAATTTAGGTGCATACCATAATATTTCTAAAGTGAATGGCTTCAGATATTCAATTCCTATATCATGTCGACATTTTTACACCAAATATTGCAATTCTTTTGAAATTTAAAGTTTAAACACCCTGTGGCAGAGTACAAAAGGAGACCTCAACTTACTAGCATAATAGCAGCTTCCTCTGCCGCTCAGAAAGCAGATGATGTTGCCCAAAAAGCTCTGGATGGGATTCAGTCTGCCTCGTTTAACGTTAACTGCAATCTATTGGGCATTATGCTTTCTGGTGCAACTGCTGGACTGTCCCCACAGAGATCATATCTGATGGCATTCTTGGAGGTTATGACTGCTGGTTTAATGCGTGTTGTTGCCCTGTTTTTGCAGTGGAGTTGGTTTGCAGAAATTGAGAAGTTTCACGCAAAGAAATAGTTTGTCACATGAAGTTCAAAAATGGTTTACTGAGCTGTGCAATGATTTGCTCCATACTGGAAAAAGTACAAAATCGGGTTTGGAGACAATTTAGTGGCATATGTTTTTGGTTCTTGAAACTGTCAATGAGTATTGATTAGATATTTTCACTTGTGGCTGTTGTGGGTTTGTTGAAACTTTAACTTTGAACTTCCCCGTTTTGGAAGATGAAGCACATTTGTTTCTTGCATGTTCTTATTAGTCAAACCCCAGCAAATTCTCTCAATAGTAAGAAGAATCTTGATTTCTATGTGATGATGCGTCTGATTTTTCTGAAGCTATTAATCGTTCTAAGCTTTTGAGCGATCTCTCTTTTGCAAAGAATTGCTTGATTTGGGAATGGATCAAAATGCAAATGTGATTTGATCTCCTTGCTACTTGTTGAGTGTTTGCGGAGACATATACTGTGAACAAGTGATTTTATTATTGCAGGCAGGCAAAGTTGAGACACAAACTGGTGGTGTTTGCGAACTGAAGTTGAAAATTCTAAACCAACTCCCTATATACTTATATGGAGCAAAAAAATAAAATTTGGTATGCATCAAATTGACATTTTGTTCTTGTAGAGGTTTAAGTGATTGCAATACAGCCTTAATCTAAAGTTATCATTTTCTCATCATTTTTTATCAATCAGTGTGCTCTCTGTTTTTCTCTCTCCCTTCCCTTTTNTCGGTTTTGTTTATTCTGAGATACTTTTCGTAGTTATCCAATGTTTTCCAAAGCAAACATTACCGAAGCTAGAGAAGAAAAAGTGCACAACAGAACAAACAAGAAGACAGGGCAGCTCTAGCATTGATCTTAATCTATACTGAATCGTTTTTTGTACAAATCCAATACGTCCCATTCAAACAAGTCGCCACGTAAGAAGACACAAATAACACGTGGCAACCTGGCATGCCCTTCAACTGTTTCCAACTCTCAGCAGCATGAAGAGTGTCGATTCATAAGTTGGCTAATCTTATTTGCTTTTTCTTTTTCCTTCAATATAAATACATGCTAAGAGTTCAAATAAATCAACATATATATATAATTAGTTACTAACACGTACACATAAAAAAAATGTGTTTTCTCTGTGGTTCGATATTAAAGATTTAAGCAGATATAATAAAAAGGGAGATGGCAGCTGAGGAGCAGAAGTTTCCGGCACAAAGGCAGGAGGAGCAGCCCGGAAAACAGCACCTGATGGACCCTATTCCACAGACACTTAACCCTGATTACAAACCCACCAACAAACTCCATGTAAATTATATATCTTTACTCTTTCTTTATCATTTTATATCAATTCTCAGCATAAAAAAAATTATTATCTCTCTTAATCTTTATTAGCCGTCTTTATTGGGGTAGTTGTTAAAAAAAAACAGAAATAAATTTTTAAAAAAAAATTTCATCTTTGAGATGAGGTCATATATATATATATATATATATATAAATGTGTACCAACATACAGGGCAAGGTGGCTCTGGTGACGGGAGGCGACTCAGGCATCGGACGAGCCGTGTGCTACCTCTTTGCCATGGAAGGTGCCAGCGTGGCCTTTACTTACGTGGCTGGCTTCGAAGAAAAAGATGCCAAGGACACCCTCAAAAAGATCAAAGAGCTCAAAGCTCCAGACACAAAAGACCCAATTGCCCTCCCTGCAGATGTGGGGTTCGACGAGAACTGCAAGCTGGTGGTGGACGAGGTCATCAACAACTTTGGACACATAGACATCTTAGTCAACAATGCAGCCGAGCAGCATGTGACGAGAACGGTCGAGGATATAGACGAAAATACCCTCGAGAGGATCTTTCGGACCAATATCTTCTCACACTTTTTCTTGACCAGGTATGCAAATTTTTCTAGCTTTTTTTAGCACCAAAAATGCATATTTAGCATGAATTCCTTCATACATTGGCTGGTCATTCCACTACAAGAAAATGATGGAGAAATTGTAGATATATTCCAATAGAATCCCAAATGCAATTTCAATGCTATTATTTACTCGAAATTTTTTAATAGATTTTAACGAAAATTTCAACAAAAATATTTTGATGGAATGAATTTTCCATTAGAATTTTCGTTAGATTTTGGCGATTCCGGTAGATATTTTGAAATATGGGCTATGTTCAGCTCATGTAAATTACAACTTCTCTCTTGTGGACAGTATCAAGCATCTCATGGCTCGTGATTGGATTGTGAAAGTCACTTAAGTGTTCCGGGAGGCAAGGCAGAATAAGCGATGTTGGAGGCACGACTCCTAAAAATAAATGGTCGTCGGAATCAACCAATTCCATCTAAAATTTCAATCTAAAATTTCAATGAAAACTCATTTCAACGGAAACTATACTATTGAAGTATCCACTGGAATTTTTATTGGAATATATTATATTACCGTTGAATTTTCCTGCAAAAAATTATGTTCGTTGGGTGTTTGCATATTTAGGCGTGCCCTTGTGTTGATTTTAAAGATGTTGATAAATTTAAAACTCAAATAAAATTCACATATATTATGGCGTGCAGGCACGCGCTGAAGCACATGAAAGAAGGAAGCAGCATAATCAACTCGACATCGGTGGTGGCCTACTGTGGGTCCCCAACTTTGCTCGACTATTGTTCCACCAAAGGAGCCATTGTGGCCTTCACACGTGGCCTTGCCCTTCACCTCATTCACAAAGGTATTCGGGTGAATGCCGTGGCTGCCGGGCCCGTGTGGACCCCACTGCAGGTGGCTTCCATGCCAGAAGAGACCTCCACAAAGATCGGGTCCGAGACTCCCATGGGCCGGGCCGCCCAGCCCCACGAGATTGCCCCGTCTTATGTCTTCCTTGCATCAGACGACTCGTCTTCCTACTTCACGGGCCAAGTCCTGCACCCTAATGGTATATATATGCTTCTAATCTAACATTGACCTTTTGCATATACTTTTTTCAGTTACTAATCTGAAGGCCAGGTTTAGTTTATGTATTTTTGTATAAATAAAAAAAATTGTTCATATTTTTTTTTTATTTTTTTTATACGAATCGAAGTGACAAAGAGCTGAATTTCAGCGGATCGTGGCAGTAAGTCCACTCTGTCGCTTACAATACCCCGTCGCGTATTTAAGTCGTGAGCAAATTGCTCATATTTTTAGAACTTCAAATTATTCTTAATAAACAATAATTACCAAAAAAAACAACACAAAAAACTATATTTTCCTCTAGGGGTTAGTATATGTATGGCCTTAATAATGACTATTTATGTGATAAATTTGTGTGTGCAGGTGGGATGATCGTCAATGCATGATGAAGAGACTAATGGGAAGAGAATGACTTGGAGATTAGAGTGTTTGGTGATTTGGATTGTACATACATAAATAAATAAATAAATAAACGGATGTTTATGTAAAAAGGAGCTGGTGTTTATAAAGTCTGGCTGAGTTCTTGGGGCTAAATTTGTTGTACAATAATAATAATAATGCAAATAAAAAGCCAGATTATGAATTTGTTGTCAACTATTTACATAATTATTATGCATGGAAATGATGTCCTTGTTATCTAGTGCTTAATTTCATTTTTGTCCACCGGTTTGTTTTCAAATGATACACTAGTTTAGCACTTAATTATACTCATCAAACTAAGTGATATTCCTATTTCGAGCTGCGCCCCATTAGTCCTCCATTGCAGAATTCTAAGTTTGTTTTGAGAGAGATCTCTTGATTTCATAAATTTTGAAATATAATCTTTTTACTTGGACACTCTTTGAATGGATTTGTTGAAATGATTATAAATTCATTGTTTAGCTCGCAATGGTGTTGACTCGCAGTGATGACGAACATAGCAGACGGTACAATCGTCAACGGTGATAAACACTGGATTTTAAATTATTAAGTTTGATGAGTCATTTAAAATCTTTCAAAATAATGACTAAAAATTATCTAGCATGTATTTGAAATCCCCCAATTTTTATTATCATCTCAACATGCATGCGGATTTGAACTTGTAAAGTTGAAATCTATAGATTTCAAATCCTTCAATCCAACGTAGCCTAACTGATTTCCCAATTCTTCCCGAAAATGTGGTCGTACTGTGTTGTACGAGTCCGGTGGCTGACTGGTCGCGGCAACCACCATTTTCTGGAGCAACCTTGTATTATGCAAAGAGTTGAAGTGGTAACTTTCAGAGAGAAATGGAATGCATTAGAGATTGCAAAGTTTGAGGCAGACTTGGCCTGCCCTGTTTGTAAAATGGGTCGGGGCAGGTCCAACCTGTAAGAAAAATAGTCAGGTTTGGGTCATATGTATTGCCTTGCCCCAGATGTGTGTGTGTGTGAGAGAGAGAGAGAGAGAGAGAGAGAGAGGAATAAAGAAAGAGGAATATTGAAAGAAATAAGTATGAATCATAGCTCTTGAATGTGAGATATCAATGCTCTTAGCTCTTGAATGTGATATATCAACGCTCTAGATACGATCAAAGGGTCTAGCTTTAGCCAAACACACGATGGCATTTCTGTAAATAAGTGGACTTTTAATTTTTCATGCTGGGGTATTTTGGTCATTGCGCAAAATGAAATGTTGTGATAAAGTGCATATCACATGCACTAAAGTACAATTTGTATAACAATATGGTGCAGTCTGTATAGTAATATTTTTAACGTGTAATTCCGAATGCTATAAGGTGCAATGCATTGAACATTAAAGTGCAACTATCAACTTTTATTAATTTACAAAATTAAGTCCCTTGAATCTATCTAATTTACAAAAAATAGTCTTATCCCTAACAGTTTCATAATCCATAATTCATGTGTTGCTTGGTTCCATTATTCGGCCTAGGCGGACAGTGCCTGCATCGGGACGGTGGAGATGGCGGCGGGAGGACGGTGATAGCCGCCTGGTCGGACTTCATTGGGCGAGATTTAGAAGGCGGCGGCAGAGGGAGTGTTCGGCGGAAAATTTGGGCGGGGCGGCTGAGGAGGAAGATGACGGTAGCCGCGGCGGGATTTGGACGGCGGCGAGGAGTGGGTCACGCCACCATGTGAGACGATGCGAAGGTCGTCGTGCTCTTGGTGAGGCTCCACCATGCGACGTTGCCTCTACTCGGGCGGGCAGAGATGATGATGGAGACGGCAGGACTAGCGCGGTGAATGAGAAACACGGGCAGCGGCGACTTGGGGTTTAGCGGCGGCGGAAATTTCAGAAACTAGGCCGACGGCGAAAATCTCAGGAACACGGGAGGCGGCGGCGGGAGGTTCAACAGCGTCAACTAGTTTAGCAGAGGAGGCGTTGGCAGGATTAGCGGCGGCGGCAACGAGATTAGCGGTTGTTGCGTAGTAATTTTCAGAAATTAGGGATGGACGATGGAGTATATAACAATGGAAGAGAAAGGTAGATGTGTTGGTGGGGCTGGGACCCAGAGGTATGCGGATAGGTGGGTGATTGGGTTGGGATAGGGGAACTGTCCAATATTCCCTTAGTAAGCCCTTAGTAAGTGTAAAATTTTGGATTGTTTATTTCTTTTACTAAGCATCTTTCTCACTTGAAGTTCATTTCACTACCATATATATATATACTTGAAATTTTCTGACCATTTTTATTTCACTAAGCATCATTCTCACTTGAAGTTCGATACCATACACATATATATATATAAAGTTATTTAGGGTTTTCAGCTAAAAAAATCCCATTCCCCCGCCTCTCTTCTGTGAAATCGCGACTCACTTCTCCCAGCCTCCCTCTTCGCAAATTCACCCAATCGGCCAACCCCACCAGTGACTGCCCGCCTCTCCTTCGACACTGTCTCGCCTCTCCTCCAACGCAAAGGCTCGACACCTCGGCTAAAAGGCTTAGCGCCTCGCCTTGGGGCGCCCTGTCTTTGAGACACCGCCTCCGCTGCCTCGATGCCCCACCAACTCCACCTGCAGATTTGAAAGGTAATTACTGTATTTTTTTAAAAATTAAAAAATGTTGCTATCTTTGAAATTGATGGGTTTTTGTCTTTGAAACACATTGTTAATTTGTTATATATGCTTTGTGAGTAAATTACAGTTAGGTTTATGCTCTTATGAGTTATATATGCTTTGTGTGTAAACTTAATATACGACGATTCTTGCACATAACTTAATCCACAGTATTTTAACACCACAAAAGTTCATACGAAAAATAAGAAAGTATAGTTTACATCACATATATAACTCTAACGTATGAACTATCAATAAACGTCACGCAAATAATGATTTGAAAAAAAAAATTTAAACTTTTCAGCATCTTATCAAATCGAATCTAGAACCCGGATTAAGACCCAAAACCGCCGCCATGGCCATGACCCTCTTCTCTGCCTATGCAAGATCATAACGAAGCTTCTCGGCCTCGCCGGTCTTCACCACCATGTGCTTCTCCATAGCTCGTCGATCTGGAAATTGGTTGCGTGCATCTCATGCACAAGCTCGATCGCCTCCATTCCCTATTAGATCTCCCTCAAATTTTCTAATCGGCACTTGCGCTCAGCCCGAAGCTCATCAATTGTGGTCTGGACGTGCTCAGATCGACGGCTAGCTTGTCGAGGGTCCGGGCCCCAACCTCAATCTTGAGGGAGCGGTCGTAGACCTTGCGTCGCGGTCCGCCCAAAAGGAGGTGGTAGAGGCCGATGCGCGGTGACGACGTCCTGCTTGAGGGTGACGTTGACGGAGGCGTGCTGCATCTTTCCTTTACTATGTGAGAGTGGGTTTGTTTTTTTGTTTTTAGTTATGGTCCTGCCATCAGTTATGGAAGAGTGGAAAAATATACCCTTTTTAATTAGTTGTTTAATTATCTAGTAATTCTCTAACGCCTCGTTTACTTCGCTTGACAGGACAGGATAAGTAAAATTCTCCCTTAATATTTAACGGTTACATAAAAGGATTGGGACAAGAATGAACTGATGTGGCGCACATGTGGACTGCGGGCCTCACTGCTTATCAAATATTGGAGGTTTAAATAGTCGTCCCCCCCCTCCCCCCCAGGATTTTTTTATCCCAACATCTCCTTTACAGATTTGCAGGCCCCACTGTTTCAGACAATCCCATCCCACAAAGTAAACACTGGACTAAATGCTGACGTGTAAAATTATTCTGATTATTTTCTCTAATCCCATCAACCAAAGTAAACGAGGCCTAAATATATATGTTCATTAAAGTAAATGTACAAATGAGTTTTTCATATAATATTTTAAGAATCATATTAATATGTATGTAAATTAGCCTAAAATAATTTTGTCACTGATGAGGTAGTTACCACTATATTTTTTTAAACTGCTTAGTCACGTAATTTAGTAAACTAGTATTATTGCCCGTGCAAATGCACGGGACATGTCAAGAAACAAAGTATAATCGTACAAATAAAAAATTATAAATTATTCCAATACTTCTTTATATTCATGTTCTTTTTGTTCGTAAAAGTTAATTGGTTGTATAATCACATTATTATTTTTAATCTTTTTATGTTGATAATAATAAAAAGCAAGAATCAATATAAAACTAACCATGATAATCAATAAAACTAAGTGAAATTGGAATTTAAACAATCATATTAAATTAATATAATCTAGAACAAAAAAGAAAAAAAAATTGTGCCATATATCAATACCAAACATAAATTAGTACAGTGAAATTAAGAAAAAGAAAATTTGTGTGCTAAGAAATAAAAGTTTGTTTCTTTAAAAAGTACAAAACACAGATAAAAATTATACATGCAAATATAATTATTTTTACCATCCGCTTTCTTTTCTTCTAATTATGAACTTTTCCCACTTCAATCATGAATTTTGTACTAAAAAAACATAAGTTTGTAGACATTAAAAAAATATTGGCACTTATGAATAATTCAACCAATTTTTTATTTTTTATTTTGATTTTTTTTTTAAAAAAAGAGTTATCTCAAAGTCATGTAAAATAAGGCAAACCTTGACCACTTTGTTTAATTCATGTTGGCATCTCTTTCAGTAGTGTGAAGAGATTGATTAATTACCAAAGAATTTAAAGTATATGTACCATAATATGTATTGCAGAATTGCTGTGAAATAAAAGTATCATATATAGTCTGTTTATAGTTTATAATATCTAAGATTAGTAGCATAATCGTATTGTGAAAGTGGAAGTTGTGCAGGTTGCCCACTAAAGTACCAGGTCATTACCCCACTACAAAAATTCTAGTAATTTAATTAAATACAAATTAATGAATTCATGCAACTGAAATAACTAATTTTTTTTTTCCTAAAACAAATTATCTTACTTATATATATAATCGAATAGATTAAGGGATAAATACTAATATCCTGATTGAACTATTTTATTTGGAAAATGCTACAAGCACATAATAAATGTACATAGAGGTGTACATAACACTCACATGAGTAGGGTCCACTTGATTTTTTAATTTTGGTAGGTCCTACTAAATATGAGTATTATGTACACCTATGTAAAATATTATGTACCTATAGCATTTTTTATTTTATTTTTGTAAAAAAATAGTGAAAATGCTATATATCTTATCGCCCA